AAGTTTACATTTAGTCAAAAATATGGGTGAATGTGTGTTTCAACTAAAGTATTCATAGGTTATACGCAGTCTTATGTATATTACAAACTGTACTCGATCGGATATAGTATTTGCTGTGAAGAAACTTAGCAGATTCACAAGTAATCTAAGTCATGATTATTGGAAGGATTTAACAAGGGTTCTTAGGTACTTGAAATATACTTTAAGCTATGGATTACACTTCACAAAATATCCCGTGGTATTGGAAGGATATTGTGATGCGAATTGGATATCCGATATAAAAGATTCTAAGTCTACTAGTGGTTGGAGCTGCTATATCATGGAAGTCAACAAAGCAAACGTGTATAGCTCGATCAATAATGGAATCATAGTTTATTGCTTTGGGTAAAGCTGGAGAAGAAGCAGAAGGACTTCGTAACTTCTTGGAAGATATTCCATGTTGGCCTAAGTCAGTATCTGCTATTTGTATACATTGTGATAGTCAATCGGCTATTGAAAAAGCTTAAAGCAGCATATATAATGGTAAGTCTAGACATATACGTCGTAGACACAATACCATCAAACAACTGGTCTCTAATAGTATTATTTCCATAGATTATGTGAAATCAAAGAAGAATATCGTGGATCTACTTACAAAAGGTTTATCGAGAGATAAAGTACGTTGTCTATCGAAAGGAATGTGATTAAAGTATACTATGTAAGGATCTTTGTAAGGTAATCTTGTTCTGTTGACTGGAGATCCCAAGATCTTGGTTTAGGGGGACAACTAAGTTATGATGATTCAATAAAGCACTTGGGAAAATGTTTCCTAACTCATTCATATGATAATTAAAAGTATTTTTTGCGAAATGTGAAGGTTAAGATATCATTTTAATGATTATTATATCTTGATTAAGTCAATTGGAGTAGGGCAAAATACTCTTAATAGGATGTGACTTATGTAAGTGTGAGGTGGGGCTGTTTTAATGAAAATCATTCAAATGTTGAAATTTTCTAAATACTTATGAAACCCAAGAGTGGTTCAAGGCCAAAATGAACCAAGTCATGAGAACTATGAATGATTTAGGAAAAACTTCAACCCAAGAGTGGTTCAGGGCCAAAATGAACTAAGTCATGAGAACTATGAATGATTTAGGAAAAACTTCTGTGTAAGTATTATTGTCTTGGTTTACACCAACGGCTTAATGGTTCAAAACATCACGTTCACCAATTAGTCAAGTAAATCTGATAGTATCTCACTAAGGAAAGTTCAATGTCGGAAGCTACCTTAATTGATGCAATGTTTTTCTGCTCTCTCTTTCTCTCTACAATGCATCATATTTCTGCATAGTATGAGCATATTCGAATTTTCATTCATGTGGGGGATTGCTGGAATTTGGTTTAGAAAACGAAATGAAATTAAGTATGGAAAGTAACTTTTGTGTTAACTTCAACAAAATATCCGGACTCAATCCGATAGTCAAATTATGAATATAAATAGATTAACTTGTTCTACTTGTCAAATAGATCGTCGTGGTATATTTGGAATCTCAAAATCAATTTCGGATGAATGAGAAATTGTAGTCCAATGTTGGATAGAAAAGAGAATATACGGGGCTGGAAAATGGCTGACTCCATTGCTCGCCCATCGCTCGAGCAATAGTCTAGTGACGGCTAATAAGAGAAGCTCTGATGAAAATGTGTCACTGTCACTCGAGCAAGAGGCCAGCGACAGGCCAGTAACAGTAAATGCTGCGACATTTGACAAAAGTTGTTGAGCTTGGGGCGCGGCATTTCACTCACAACATTTTCTCCTCTATATAAAGATCTATTTGGACATCAATTATGCATCACATATCATTTGCATTGAGTATTACATAAAAAAATCTTGCAAAATACTCTCCAAAATCCGTTCCAACACTATTTTCGTGTAGAGAGAAAATTTCGTTCTAAGTTCGTTGTTGCTTGTGATTTGAAGTGCTTCTACCACAAGTTATATCTGTTGTATCTTGAAAGACGAGTATCGTAATCTGTTAGCACAGTTGTGGAGCAATATTGTCTTAAGGAGAAAGTGTTTTCACTTGGCTCGGATTTCGTTTTCCCTTTTCCTTTCCCTTTCATTTTCTTCTTCTTCTTATTTTCTTTCTTTAGAGTTTAATTACGCTCTTGCGAATTAAATATGAATATTTTCTTTACCTTAACAACCATTTACATATACTTACCGGCCCAACAGTTGACAATGAGCCGAGAGAAGGATGAGTAGACCTAATGGGAGAACTACCACAGCTGCGATCGTCATTGCTGACACGATATAACTTCAGATTTTTTTTCCTTGGAGAGGGAAACGGTGAGTATGAGTTTGTTATATTAACCGTTTTTTATGAATCTGTATGAAATAATGAAATGATTTGTTTAGAACTCTTGCTAACGTGCGCCTCGTAGCTTTTTATTATTAATTTGTTTTATTTTATCCCCGTCTTTATTTTTATTTTCGCGACGAGAAGTTTTGATCTCATATTGGATAAAGATACAATGTAAGTCGAGTTAAGAAGGTTTAATTATAGCCAATAGAAAATTATACAAGTCTACAAGAAAGAAAATCGTGATTAACAACGCACGAAAACAATTGAATAAAAGCTCAAAACAAATGTTTAACTCCATAACTACTTGAGCAATGTTTCGAGTTGACTTATGTACGCATCAATTTGTTGTCTTTTCAATTGTTTTTAAATAGCAAAAACAAGCATTTCATAGTTAGACTAGGTGCAAGCAACATGCAATGCACGTTTACCTAGTTTATATTTAATAGTTTTGTTTAAAAATTAAATTGTTATTAATAAAGATGTAATTTTTTTGGTTAATTAAATAATTAATAATGTAATGTTTATGTAATTGATAAATAATTAGATGTGTGATTTTGATGTTGTGATGTAAGTTGGTGAGATCGAAGAAAATAAGCAAAAGTTGACAAATTTGGAGAAATGGCTAAATTGTAAGGGATCCAAAATTCGGGGACTAAAATGTAAATACTTAAAAGTTGTGCCGAACCTCACGATGAAGATTTGAGAGTGCTCGGAGTCAATTGGATAAAGGAAGACGTCAATGGAATCAAATTTAGTCAAAAGATGATCACAAATCAATTTTCAACCGAAAAGTTATGCTCCGATATTTTAGTCTCATATTGAGACCTATTTTTGGCATAGAAAGTGATCGAATTGGAGAATGATGTCTGAATCAAAGTTGTAGCCAGATGAGTTAGCTTTCCAACGCATTTTGAATCGCCTCAATTGGACATCGGAATACAAAGTAATGATAAAAACACTGAAAAAAGGTGCAACTGCCTGTTTAAGACAAAAAATTCCGTTACATAGTCCGTTAAAACAACAAATTCCGTTAGTTTTTCCGTTAAAAACAAGAAATTCCGTTACATAGCCACTTTTAATATATAGAAGATATCGAAAGGTTGAAGGTTTGAATATGAAGAAATCTTATTTTATGTGGACGAGATTCACCTGAGAATGTGTATATTCTATTTTTCTCTATCTGGAATTTAAGAACTTGCAATTTTTTTCAATTCAAGTTCTTGGTTATTGGGTAAACAATTTCTCTTGTTCTAATGAGAGAAATCTTAAACACGTATTTGATAAATTAAATTAAAAAAAGACTAGGTATAATTAAGGAATATTATCATACAAAATGTTAATATGTTATTTTTCTATTTATATTCAATCAATATTACCAAGCATGCTCTCATGGAAGATAATTCTGAGTTGTATTACTCTATCCTTGTTGGTCTATTATTTTTCCACATATAAAGCATGCTCAAATAAAAGTGTGAATTGAGTTGTCTAACCCTTGTTGGCACTCAAGCCTATTTAGTTAGACATAGTCTATGTGAAGTCCGCAAACGACCCACTTTAAACTATTCCGAAGATAACCGGAATCATTTTACACCGCTTTGGTCTAATGTACGAAGTGCCAATGTTTCTAGTTTTTCTACTGAATAAAACTATTAGTGTGTTTGGTATCAATTATTCAAGCCAAGAAATGAATTTTTGAACCGTTGAAAAGTAATCTCAGTAGCCAAAGTTGACTTCCTTACTCACAAGTGGGACCCATAGGTTGAAAACAACGGTCCTTTTCTTGCTATAATCTCTTGAAAATTTATACCAGACACACCCTATATAGCACCATTAGTGTTTAACATCAATTCAAACACTAAACCCTAACCATGTAGCACCTAAAGTTGGAGTAATACTATTTTATATCAACGAGCAGTAATTTGAGAGGGAGATTTACTAGTTACTACCTCATTATAAGAGTCTAGTAAGTGGATTGATTTGTGCAATTTTTTATATATTTTCAAATCAAATCATTTTGAATGATTTAAGAAAACTTCAAACATAAATCAAACCGTATAAAAGTGTTCGAGAAAAAAAAATCGAACTTAAACATAATTGTTTGGTTTCTTTACATATTTTTGTTCTACTACGCTATAATGTTACGAAATATCTTTCCTATTTATTGACAATTGAATAAAATAAACCGCATATATTAAAATATATATGAATCTACATAGCAACATACGACAATATTTTACATTGGACTTTACTACAAGTACATCATGGTGTACATAAGGGTGTCCATAATGGACACCCGACATCTCCTTATTGAATGAAGTACCAGTGGGGTCGGCACTCCATCCAATAGGGAGGTGCCGGGTGTTCATTATGTACACCCCAATGTACAACAAGAATAATCCGTTCAAAATTGTTTCGTTAAAGTTCCACGTCACACCAAATAGACTGTTTAAATGACAATTTTGGCTAAACTAGGGTTTATCCCTTGTCCATCTACTCCATGGCAAAATTGGCTAAGAATTGATTTTAAAAAAAAACCCCTTTTCGTTTTCTCAGGATTGAGGGGGGTAAAAGTGCATAAACCCCGAAATTTGAAGAGGCAAAGTGTATAAACTACGCAATTTAGTACTTCAATTTATTTGTAATTGAACACCAGCAAAGATGAGCGCACTGCCGCCGCAAACGGCGCCGTACCACCAGCCCGCCACCCTTGAAGAAGTCCGCACCCTTTGGATTGGCGATTTGCCTTATTGGGCCGACGAGTCATACCTCCACAGCTGGTTCTCCAACACCGGCGAGGTAATTACTTATCTATACATACAATTCCAGTAATATATGCTTTGGGAATTTATTTGTAATGTATTTCATGTTTGTATAATGAAATAAGCGAATAAATTTGGACATGGGGTTTTGAATAATATTATACGTATTTGTTGAAATTTTTAAGGTTTCTGTTCTTTGTGTTACACATTCTGTAATAATTATCTGCAATGTTAATTCAGTATACAACATCTTAAGGACAATGCGCATATCCAATAATTTGATATGCTTGGTTAAAACTTCAAATTCCATAGCTATTGTTTCAGGACCCTGCCGATAAATGTACTATTTTTTTAATTTCCTGGCCAAATTTTCTTCTTGTTATGTTCTGAAATATTCTACCCGCTAATCCTTATGTTTAAAGGTTCGTGGATGGCATCACGAGTTCTGTACTGCTGTCAAATTGTAATTTTTCTCTTGGTTTGATTTTTATGAATCAAAATTTCTGATGTTTGAGGAATGAAAAGATTATAGATGCTAACTATTGGTTGTGTAGCTGTTAATGGGTTAGAATTGAATGATTTAAAAGGTCACTATGTCTAATACAGGTAATTTCTATTAAAGTAATTCGGAATAAAATCACAGGCCAACCCGAGGGTTATGGGTTTGTGGAGTTTACTTCGCATCAAGTAGCTGAAAGGGTTCTACAATCCTACAATGGAACACAAATTCCTGGGACTGAGCTAACATTTCGGTTGAATTGGGCATCATTTGGGATAGGAGAAAAGCGTATTGATACTGGACCAGAGCACTCTATTTTTGTTGGGGATCTAGCACCTGACGTCACAGATTATTTGTTGCAAGAGACTTTTCGAACCCATTATTCCTCAGTAAGGGGGGCCAAGGTAGTGACTGATCCAAACACGGGCCGCTCCAAGGGATATGGGTTTGTTAAGTTCGCCGATGAAAACGAAAGGAACCGAGCTATGACTGAGATGAATGGTGTATATTGCTCAACTAGGCCCATGCGCATTAGTGCAGCGACTCCTAAGAAAACAGCAACTGGTGTTCAACAGCCTTATGCTGCACCTAAAGGTGAAGGACCTTTTCTTTTTTTTTTGTGTGTGTATTCATTACTCTCTAGCAGGTCACAAAGTCTGAGAATACGTATCTTCTTGAGATTTTTTTTTTTCTCTTTTCTAATTTGGAGGTGAAATGTGTATACATATTGCTAAAACAACATTAGGGGCTATCTCCAAATCCTTGTTTCTCAATGGCTGCTGATATTTGCTCATTTTATGGTTTGCATAATGAAAGGTGCATCTAGAACACGACACAATCCTTCGAGGAAGATGCTTTATATTGCCCTTCAAATGTGGCCGTGGTGATACCTGGTGACTGGTGTACAAATAATACACCTTTATTGAGCCACCAAAACAATCTCTGAAGTTTATTTTCATTTAAAATTTAATTCACTCTAGTTCAAAATCATAGTGACTTCTCATTAGAAATTTAGCGGCCATTTCAAATTTTCTTGTTTGGTTCATTTTATTTTCATGTTTAGATCACTTTATTTTCTTGTTTTGGCAGCATTATATCCAGCTCCAGTTTATACTCCGCCGGTTCAGACAGTTCCAGTGGATAACGATATAAATAACACTACCGTAAGTTAAACACTGATATCTGTAGTTCCATTTCCATATATGTCTTGCTGCCTAATTTCCTTGCTCAATTGCAGGTTTTTATCGCTAATCTGGACCCTAATGTCACAGAAGAAGAACTGAAACAGATATATTTGCAATTTGGGGAGATCATTTCTATCAAAATTCCGGCAACCAAGGGTTGTGGCTTTGTGCAGTTTGCCACCAGGTATGTTTTGGTGTATAAAACACTTATTTCAATTGCTGCATGATCTAAAACAAATGTAAAGTATCTATATGTACTTGCAATCATCTCTGACACTTCATCAATTGGTAACCAATTTGCTGCTGATGCTCATCTTCATAGGACATCCGCAGAAGAATCAATCCAGAGGATGCAAGGTACTATGATTGGTCAACAAGTAGTTCACCTTTCTTGGGGAAGGAATCCAGCGGCAAAACAGGTCAATTTCTCACTGATATTATTATGTCAAGTAATTCCTCACCATGTTTGGCTGACCTAAAAATATTTACTTTTAATTGAATTAAGCAAGTAAGTTATAATATAAATTTTTTTAACAAGTCAGAGTTGAAAAAAAGTTACCTTTTTGACAGCTAAGAGTTACTTCTTAAATTTGCAACTTTTTTTTTTTTACTCAAAATAATAACAAAGTAACTTATCCAAACATATTTGGAAACAAAAAGTTGCACTTGCTTTTAATTTTAGCTGTTTATTTTAAGTAGGAGGTTGGTAGCAACTGCTTTCTTTTCCTTTCTTGTTGATATAATGCTATTTTAAAAAAGTATAACACCGAAAACCCAATTAAGCTCACAAAATCAACAGATTTTTAAATCAGAACATGAAAATGAAGTTGATGTCACATAAAACACAATTTTTTTTGCTAGTTTTGATTTCCTTGAATTGAAATTGGCACATTTTTCGTTGACAAATTATAACTTCATGGTGCAGGATGTATCTGGCATCTGGGGTCAATCAGCAGATCCAACGAGTCAGTGGAGTGCTTATTATGCTTATGGACAAGGATACGATGCCTATGCATATGGAGCTACTCAGGATCCTTCAGCATATGCATATGGTGCATATGCTGGTTACTTACAGTACCCTCAACAGGTAAGATTGTCTTCACTCTCGTTTTAATTTTTGTCCTCTCTTATCTTCAACTTACTACACATTTGTTTTTATAATTAAATAGATGGCTGCCATTTCGAGTAGAGTAATAGGGTGGTCCAGTATTATTGTGAATTTTAATGTGCATCTTTGATAAAGCAGCAAAACTGTGACTAGTAACTTCAACTACTACGATATTGGGGCCTGTATATCTTTCTTTAAACCTTTTTTAGCTGTAACTTTAGAAGTCTTCTCTAGCACTGGGATGCTTATTATTGGAAGAGTTACGTACCAAATCAATACTATTATCCTCACAATTTAGCCGTTATTTTGGAAATGTTTATCAACTATTTCCATTTCAATGCCAGAAGTATTAGAAGTTGGGAATATACTTGAAATGTTTATCCATTAAAACTAGATAAGTGCAGTAAGCCATTGGTTTTTATCCATTTGTATTTTCGTTCTTATATAGGCTGAAGGTGCTCAGGACGTGGCAGCTATGTCGGGTGTTGCTCCAGCTATGGAACACAGAGAGGAAATCTACGATCCTATGGCTATGCCAGATGTTGACAAGTAAGCCTCTTACACAGGATTTTAGGTAGATCATGGCTGGCTTAGCTTAAAAAGTTTAATTAATAAGTAAAGAAGTAAATTTCTTCTTTCTTTCTATCAAAATTAAGAAGAAAGTTACTTTCTAATAAATAAATTTATTTGCTTAGTAGTAAGAAAAAGGTAACTTATCTAGATATAAGTAACTTTTGTCAGCCAAACATGATAATTGTGGTTAAATAGTAGTAACATATAATGGTTTTGGAAGATCTTTTTGCTGAAAACAATCACACCATCAACTCTCAGGTTGAATGCTGCCTATCTTGCTGTTCATGGAAGGGCTATTTTGGGACGGCCTTTGTGGCAGAGAACCTCATCGCTGTCATAGAAATTTTATTCTGGTAGTCGAAAGGTAATGCATCTGTTTTTGGAGTCTGTTGTGGCCTGCCAGTTGTAAGCAAGAAAACTATAGTACCGAGTATAAATCTTGATTTGGCATTATGTATACCTATACTGCTACCTTCAGATGTTACATTTTGCTTTTCGCCATTTATATTTCGAATATTTTCCTAAATTTGTTGGGCATCGTAGTCATCAATATTATTGTTAGTATTTCTTCTGGATGCTGATTTTTGTCATCCTATTTGCATCTTTAGTTTGTGCTAGTGTATATGAATTCGAAGCACCTCCCACCCCGCATTTAAAAAAAGAAGGGTTGTTCATCATTTAAGTCGAAATTCTATTCTAATCAGCAAATAGGGATAGCAAAAAAAAATTGTTCTACTTGCGAGTCCCACCATGAATGAGGCGGGAGGTGGGGGGTCAATGTCTCGAAGCGGGTACGGGAATATAGTCATCACTCTGTTTAAAGTTGATTTTAAATTTAAGTTTTAAATAAAAAAAATCATGGGGGTTGCTCAATTGGTCAGACCTTGTGTTTGCTCTCCAATGGTCATCAGTTCGAGTCCTTTCAAGATCATTGAGGTGAGTATCTGACTGTAAATTTGAAGACCTCGTGGAATTAGTCGAGGTGTACGCAAGTTGGTCCAGACATTCACGATTATAAAAAAAAAGTTTTAAATAAAAAACACAGAAAAAATAAACGGGTCGATAAATAGGTTAGGGAACCTGTCTTGTCCTACCTCGATCTTGTCTCGTCCCACTTTAACCGGGTATGAAAACAAGAGAAAGTGACAAAAATACCCAACGAGATGGGTGGAAATGGTCGATCGTCTCATGTCCGCCCTATTGCCATCTCGAACAAACTTTTGATGCACAATGTGCTGTGGACCAATCCAACCATAGAGTCAGGACTTCAGAGGCCCAGCCCAGATTTTAAGGGCCCACGGCCCGTGTGAGTCGGTTTACACCCGAGCAGAATCACTCTTCTTTATCTTGTCCATCTAAAGATCACAATATATTGTCAACCAATCCAACTCTCCAGTCATGATGTACTCGGTCCGTATTAAGAGGCCTATGACCCATTTGAATCGGTTTATGCAAGTCTCTATTTGAAAGAGGATATCTTTGGCAAAAAGGTCAAAGCCCATATACTTGGATGGTGCGAGACACGGGCTATTGTGTCAAATATGTGCAAGCTGATAACTGAAGCTTTGAGGCCAACAATTAATCATTCAAGCTTTTGCTTAAATCACAATTCATTCTGTTTCGTGTTGTTTCTTGCATACTTTTTTAGGTCATAAGCAAAGACCAAATTGTTTGATAACAAATTAAACTATGATAACTTTACAAGTGATTACTCAGTTGTGTCCCATATGTTTGGGAAGTTCAGGAAAATGACTGGCGTCTGCTGCCAGCCTTCTACGTTCCAAATTAGTAACTGTGCACAGCCAATTTCCGAAAAAGAAAATTTCAGTTGCGTCGAACTTGGACCGTGCACATCCCTAAATAAAAGGTTTTAATATGAAGTGACGATATATGAGTTTTTTTTTATATACTAGTTTGACACACGTGCGATGCACGTGCCGTTGGTGAAGTTGTGTATTAAATA